CACATGCTGTTACCATCCCTGCAAAAATTAAACCCTCAAACAACACAGTTGTGAATCTTCCCACTTATGGTCCAGACATATAGAATCTCATTTTACTGAAGCTGTGACTTAATAATCAGTCATTATTTTTGAGCTGAGGGTTATTAGAGGCTAGAAAGTTCTAGGGGGGCAAAGATGTCTCTAGAAGGGACTTTTAAATATAAGGTGGACAATGACAATTACAAGACATAAAGTTGGTCAGGTAGGGTAATTTAATGTTATATTCCTTGTGCTAGTTTAAAGACTAGTTAAGTGGCTTTGTGACTAGAAGGTCTGTGATTGGGATGGGTGGTGAAAATCTGGGTAGAGTCATCTCCAACAACTACTGTCAATCAATGTAATGATGAACAACTTGTTCCAGTTTTATAATATAGTTTTCTATCTTACAGCTGTGCTCAGCAGGTTCCAACTGATTCCTTAACAAAAAGGTAGCTGTGATATTCGGTGAAACTTGCCATCATACAACCACCCACAACCACATACGGTCCTGCTGCATAAGCACCTTGCCAGTTGTCTAAAGCAGCAAATAAGGTTTGAGTATAAGATTCAGACCCTGGGGCTTAGCCTCTTCTCTGATACCAGGGCAATTAGATCTTACCCCACTAACTGTTTATTCACTGCCTCAGAGTCTTCATTTACTATCAAGTGAAACACTAAGACAGTGCAGTCCAGTTTGCCCACTAAATATGAATGTTCACTGAAAACAGGTTTCTATGCTCTCTATGACAGTGTATGGTGAGTGAGGCAATCCACCACCTTTCCCTTGCCCTTTAATTCATTTCTAAGTTAAAGCCTGTGTATCATTATTCGCTTGAGCTCCACTCGCCCGACACCGCCAGAGCACCCAAGCCCCATCAACTTGAGGGGGGGAGGGGGGCGTGGCGGTGGTGTGAGGAGGGGGATTCTTGGCAGAAATTCCCCACAAATTTTATGCCAAGAGCGAAATGGAAACCTCCTCTCATTTTCCTTTCCCCTTAAACCAATGTTTTCAAGCCCCAGCCCCACCAAGGTCATTATAATCATAGCAAGTGGAAGGGAGCCAGTGACCCGCCATTACAGTAAGGTAGAAAGCCACCCAGTCAGTCAGCTATTGGCTGATGAAGAGGAGCAGAAATCTGTCTAGAAATGTTAAAAATCTCTCAATTTCAAATGCAGGTAAGTGTTCCTCCCATTAGACTTAAGGTTGTGCTCTTTATGATATGGACTCTCGGTCAGTCTGCATTTTTAGCACTTGCCTTTAAAGGCTTTGAGAATAAGGATGACGACTGGTTACAAAATGTTAAGGGGACTTGTTCAATCAAATGACAACATGAGCTTTAATATGCACTGAGTATGCCAAACACTACTGAACATTTAGCCCTATTCTCACTAACCCAGTGTATCAGGTTTTAAATAGCAAAGCCAGATGCACAAAATATTAGACCGTATAAGCATTTTCTCTAAGCTGAACTTTTAAGAGCGAGTAATAAGGCTGCAAAATTACACAAACAATAACACGTTGCAAGGTCATAAAGAATGGCAGTTTTCATTGTGGCACCAAAGGTCATGTTTACTTGTCAGAGTGAAGGCGCCATACTGTACTGTGACCTCCATAGCCGGCTTATGTACCCACAGACACACACGCACGGACACAAACACACAAGGGTTGCGTGTTCACTTTCACATGTGCGTGCCGTGCACACACACTTAGAGAATAGTCTCCTCTCACAAGCTGTGCCACAGACAATAGGACAGTGCACACTGGGCTGCACAACCCATATATCTGGGTCTGTGCTAAGATAAAGCACCTCCAGCATTAAAGCCAGTGTATTAGCTTGCCCTTTTTCACCACAGATGAAGAGATTTGAAGCTCGATATTGTGCTTGTTGGCTGGCACACCACCAGGGTGTTGTTGGCTGAATAATGAAAACACACAGACTGACAGCGAATGGCATGAGGTGACACTTCCATTCCAGAGTGGGAAGATCCAAAACAAAGCGCAAAAAGCTTCTGACAAATTCATACTTTTCTGTGACAGTTTGTTGACTGAGGAGGGAAACAACTCCTAAATCAGAAAAAGGCTTTCATTTAAACCCAGGAACACAGGCACAGCAGTGCTCCAGTACAGTGCGCCTACACAGGACTACGTGATTTCAGATATGTGGATGACGAGTATTTTAGTTGCAGACCAATTACAAAGCAGCTTAATTGAAAAGGTTGACATGGACTAACTTCTAGGCCAAAAAATATATCAGACTTCATGTTTGACTGATCCAGACAATATAGTGAGGACGCTGTGTGAAATACAAGTTTCACACAAACTGTTTGAAACACAAGTTGTTTAAAATCAGGAAGCTTTAGTAAACACAACTTCCTGCATTTTAACTGTTGGATCATACAATTAGTTTGTCCACCATTTTCCTAATATGTTACAATGATTTTTAATAATCATTATCATGATTATTTTACATTTGAAACTAACAAAGCATGTCCTTAAATATTCTGATCATTATGCAGGCCTCGTTCAAAAAAAATCATTTGCATGTACATTTGCATGTTGAAACGAACAATCAATTGCTATTACCCTAGATGGGAAACTATGGTATGTGCTAAAATATGATTTTATGTCTTCTACACAAAAAACATAAAATCTTTTTCAGTTTTGGTACATTTTGAGACTCCTGACTCGCATCACAAAAATGCTCGAAAACTATAAATATACTGGATGGGTCCCTGTTAACAGGGTGACATGTCATAAAATCCTACTCAATGAGTCACCCCAATTAACCGAGACAAGACACTTTTTCTTATTTTTAAAAAGGAAAAATGTACAACTTATCAAAAAAGTATCAATGGCCCATGATGCACACCATACTGTATGCTTATTCTCATCATAAGTGTACAAACATCCTCGAAAACAAAGTACAGATGTTGTTAAATTAACCAGAAGAATGCCAGTAACGAAGAAGGGAGATTCAAGAAAAAGGCAACCTGTTTCTGGTGCAAACTACTGCGTGTATTTCATAATTACACTGTACACTTAATTCAGATCATAAGACACAGGTTTGCCTGATTTGTTAGTTAAAAAAAAAAAAAAAGGCTGCAGCGGGTTATGTTCGGTTACACATCCTGACCCCTGTTCTGTGCAGCCCAACCATGTGGTTTACATACTCCTTATGCAGCATATCAGGGAGGGCTCACTGTTCAAATACCCCCCCCTGTCACTCAGTCACACACACACACACACACACACATACACACAGAAATACAGTCACTCACCACTGTCACCCAGTCCCCACCTCTATGCCTCTCAGCCAACTGCTGCAGTTTCCCCAAGTTCAACCCTAGGTCAAACAACTGAGCAGCAGATTAGTGAATATTACCACTAAAAACAAAAAGAAACAGTGTGTGTATATCGAGTTAAGCTACTGGAATTACTCTGATGTACACTCGATCTTAATGTGTCAGAAATATTAAACTGTGACAGGTGCAGGGGCTCATTCATTCCTCGAACCCTTTTTGAAATTAAAAGAAAAACTACATGCCAGTAAACTGACAACTTATAGTGATCGTGGCTGGTTATGCTGAACAGCTGGCATGGTCTGACATTTAAGAAACGAAGAAGATAGTGTCATAAGACAAATGTACCAAGCCCTCGTTGATTTAAAGATGAATCACTCAATTATTCATTACATTTGCATACCAATATGACTAATCGAGCTGTTTGCTTACGCATGTATTGAACAGAAATGATTAAGAGCAACAACAACAAAAAATAAATGTAATAAATAATAAATAAATAAAAAATGTCACTCTTGGATAATTCCTTTTAATAATGGTTGTCATTGCCCACTACCATCTGAGCCAATCCTCTAGCGGCCGGAGTGTGTTATCGCAGCTTTTTTTCATTATCTGGACTGATAAAAGGCACAATACGAACATCCAAAGATACGGAGGGTCAAATGTACAAAAGTAAACCAACCTCCTACCAAAAAATCAACTCCACGGGAATTACAATAGCTCTCCTCTGCTGCGGCGCAGTGTTATTTTTAAAAGCCATGTTAGTAGAAGAGCACAACTGTCGTTTCCCCCTTTTCTAACCGCGTTATTGATCGTAGTCTGTCTGCAATGAATGGCTGCAAAGGGAAGGGGGGGAAAACCCTGAACTTCAGGTGACCGACCATGGCTCTGACATAGCCTGCATGCAGACTGGGAGGGGTAGAAAAGAAAATACATTGGCTTAAGGTGGTGAAGGTGGTGGTGGTGAGGTGAGGTGGTGGGGGGGAAAGAAGAATAAGAAGAAGGAGAAGGAAAAAAAAAAATCTCTCTACACTTTTTTTTAGAAAAAGTCGACGACAAACAAGCGCGAACAAATTCGGTTCCGCGATTGGGAAGCAAAGAAAAAAAAAAACTATGGAGGCGAAAGTTAAGACGTTTTTATCGCCGAGGAAATGAAGTTTACCGAGCGTTGCTAGATAGCGCTATTGCTAACTAGGAACACTAGGGTACGGGTAGCCCAGACTCTGGCTTGTCTGATCCGACTGACCCTTCATTTTATTGCGGCCAGACTCCCAGATCCTCCCCTTTCTACCCGAAAAGCGACCTAGCAGAGGCGAACACATTACCCGAAAACCGCTCGGCCGTTATTCCTCACACACAACCGACACATAACGCCAACTGACCGCAACCGTCTTCATCATCTTCTTCTTCTTTTTTTTTTCTCCCTCCCTCCCTCCCCCCCTTTTTAGCGGAATCGGACCTTTTATCGATTATACTCTTTAATAAAGCCACGTATCATTTATCCACTCAACTGCCTTGCTAACGTTACCCATCGCCAACAACATGGCTGCCTCGCTCGGACCTAAAAAAGGGAGAAATAACCTACGCCGAGTCTTTTGTCTGTTTCACCTCTTTAACCCTAAACTACTGCGCAAAACACACCGAGAGCCGTTAAAATTGAACAAATCGAGTGAACGACTTACGTGAAGGCAGGCGCTTGGGTTGCTCCTGCTTCCTCCTTGGCATTTTCCCCCGTTTTTAATCACATTCTCGTCCTTGTTTAGGGATAAGAAGAAAAAAGGTTTTTCCCATTGAGACTGGAGGCGCCAGTGATGGCAGGGACTTGGTCGTGCACCTGGCTTTGCTCGGTTTAAAGTGTATTGTTGGGGGGAATGGGAACACAGGCGGAGGAGGTGCCGCTGTTGTTGTTGCCGTGTCTTGACTATGGCTGCTCTCGGTGCAAGTGTGTCTCCGAGCCCCTAACTAACACTAATGCAGGGATCAAAGGGCAGCAACAGCAGAGCAGACACACACACACGCGCGCACGCACGCACACTCACACACTCACTCTCTCTCTCACACACACACACATTCACACGCTCTCACACACACACTCAAACACGCTCTTGCGCGCACGCACACATTGGAGGAGCTCGCCCCCGAGAGCAGCGTACGGACAAGGTGCCCCCAAGCTTTCAGGGTGTTATTGCTGAAAAGGAAATGTATTTGTTAAAAGCAAGGAGGGTATAATTCAGCAGGGAGACCCATTTGATGGAGTCGAATTACGTTAACGGAATCTATTTAAATTCCTCTAAAAAAAAAAATAAATAAATAATAATATAATAGTGATGGATGATAATTTATGCGAATGATGCAAACATGGATGTACATGTCGTCTATTTAGACGCTATGAAATAACATAAAGCAGAGGCATGTTTAACGTGAATTTATCTGTGATTTAGCATACATCTCTTTAAAATAAGTATCCCAGTTGCAGCATGGTCAAATTTAAATGCTGAAAATGATATTTAAAAGGCTAATATTGACCAGAGGACTTAGTTTACACACAGCTTTTGCACACTTATATGTAAGTTTAAGTGTAATGCTAATTTTTGTAGGCTGTATTGCTTATAAGTGGTAGTAGTGTTATACTATTCACATCCAAGGTATTATATACTCAAAGAGAAAGACATTTCAAGCCTTTTGGTTATTATACCCACTCTTTCCCTGAAAAAAGTTTCTTCTAAGCTGCCCTTTCATTATAATTTCCAAATTAAAGTTGCATGAAGAAAAACAACAACCAAAAGCTGTAACTTGAATTATAGGTTAGTTAATATTACAAAATCATCAATATTATCAAACATCCAATATTTTATTTTTGGTTTATTTCTGTCTTCACCTCCTCCTACCCCCTATTTCTCCCACACGGGCTTCATACATGTCAGGCTTCTAATTTAAAAACTGCCCGCTGAGTTATACCTACAATTTGTCTATTAAAAGAACAGTAGAAAAGGCACATTGTGTGGGAACCGGTATTTAGTCAGGTGGGGGCAATAACAGGTGTCAGTGTCAGAAAAATGTCCAACAATTATCCAACCCAATGTAGTCATCTCCTCATCAAAGTTGAGATACCAAAACTGGCCAGAGCTGAATCCTCCTCCCTCTCAGCTGGGTGTTGGGGCTTTTTCACAGCGCAGGCTGTCCCCCACTCCCTGCTGTTGGACTCCTCCAGGCTGCGTTCTGTTGGCCTGCCGCGTTCTTTCACACCTCGGCCGTGTGTGAGGAGAGCTGTGTCTTCATCCCTCCATCCTTCCATCCTCCAGTCCTCCTCCTGCCATGCCTTCCACCCACCCCCAGCGGAGGCGCAGGAGGCTCGTTACCGTGGCAATTAGTGAAAAGCCCAAATTAGCCCTCTTGGCTGTCCACAGGTGACAAAGACACTTTGCATTTCTGCTAATTAGGAAACAGAACAACATGATTAAATGGGGCCTATCAGGAGGAGAGTGGACAAACATGTTCCACAAATAGAAAAGAGTTATATATTATAACTCCTGCATGAAATGATTAAGACATCCCATTAGGTTTTTCATTTGTGGAGAGGATAATGTTGGGTTGCGATACTGAATATTACAATGGTTTACATTACAGTTTTAATAGACTTATTGTGAGTAGACAGCTGTGTTTCTTACCTGCAGATGGACAGCCTATAGACAGGTGCTCCGACCAGTGAGTCCATGAGTTGCTACAAGGAAAAGGTTAAATTATTTTTTGGGTTTCTGCGTTTCTTGCACATTGTCTATATTTTGGTGGACAGCAGAAAATATGCGTGGCAAGACCTCTAGACCATTGCTCGTATTACCTCGAGGGGGGAAAAAGTATAATAGATATTGGTTATAGTTCTGCTGGTAAAACCTTCCACTTTGACAAAGAGTTTGTGCTACATATATACGGTGTGTGGTTTTGTGCCACTGCACGGATGAGCTAGAAATAAGTAAAAGATGGAAACGGTGACTTTAAGAGTATACATAGTAGACATTTGGTTCAGGTTAGTTACCGTAATGCAAACAATGCAGCTTTGGTTTGTACGTCTTAATGAAGTCACAGATAGATGTCGATGGATCCTGAGAGTAGTTTTTATACTCACATTTTATACGAACAATCCAAGAGAAGCTTAAATTCCCCATGAAGCTTTTTCATGCTGGATGGCTTAGTCAGTGTTAAATCTTGCTCTGTGTATCCACCCTTTGCTTATTACACCACATAAGTGGTAATTAATGATAGCAAACTCCATGTAATATCAAACTCAATTTAGCAGGCTGACTTATTCCAGACATAAATCAGTGTAGGAATTTAAAACTTCTGCATCTGGTGTTGTCGTGTCCTCCACACATTTTCATTAACAGAAAATCATACTACACTACTAGTGTTTGTCTTGGTGGTGTTTTTGTTCCCAGTTGAGTCTGATCACCATGGGGAGGTCACAGCCTGTTCTCTGACCCCGACAATGCCATGCAGCTGAGGTAATGCTGGCAACAGTACAGACTGCTGATAGTGGCCATGGTAACACTGACATGACCTCACTCAGGGTTGAACCTAAAGGTCATTCCTCATTGCAACGGGGATGACTGCTCCAGCTATATTACCAGTGGCAGCTCTCAACAGACACTATACACTAATGCAAAAAGGCTTTCACTAAATAGACCTTAAATAACCCCACAACAAGTGCTGTGCATTTATGTCTGCTTTTCTAACGATGTGAAGATGTAGAATATACTCAAGGATAATTAGAATTGTTTTGTTTCACTCGATAACTGGTGCAGGTTCCCTGCTTTGAAAACAGCTCATATTGTCAGTTGGTATTATTACTACTTATTAAAATGGTTCCCTATAGTGGCACAACAGTTAGTGGGGGGCTAAATGAGTTTCAGGTGCTTCAGAGGAGGATGGAGCAGACTGGAGAGAAATGAGCTAACTTGCTTATGTGCCTTGGGGGCAAACTGAACAGTTTCTTCTCCTTTCCTCTGTCTCTTTTTTTCTTCCTCTTCTCTATCCTCTCAGGCCCTGTCCTGTGTGGGCAAGGCTGGTTGGGCTAACGTTAGGCTCGGCCAGTCAGATGTTGCCCTGGGGTAAACAGAAACATCTGTCCCCTGCCCAGCCGTGACTGTCGCTGAGTGATAAATCCTGGGGTGGCTTGTGCCAGCGCTGTCCGGCGTGCCACCTGTCCCCCTCCTACACAATTTCCCCCACCCAACCCATTCACATACACACACACTTCACCCTATTTGCACTCGTCCGCCTTCATCCTGACAGTGTGACAGAAGCAGGTGGTTCACTCCCTTTTTGCCCTCTGGCCTTCTATGCTCTCGTCCTCGGTTGGCACATTTATGCAGGGAGTGAGAAGGGTTGTCGCCTCTAGCAAATACCAATGGAGAGATCCCTGTACCAGGTTATTCAGCAGTGGTCCTAGGGAACTCAAAAGCCTATAGCAGTCGTTTCGTTTAATCAGACATAAAGTCTGCAGATCAGATAAACTAAGTTTCACAAAGGTCAACAAAATGCTCAGTGAAAAAAAAAACATCAGAAAGTGCTGAAGATTTTAGAGGATGTGACTTAAATGACAATGCTTTTTACTTATTTTAGGACTTTTATGCTACAACCCATCTGACCTGTCAAAGCATGCGCAGATAGTGTATATTAAGTCGTACGTTGCCATGTCTTACTCTCCTGCTACCACTTCCTCTCTCTGCTCTACTACTTTTACTAGTGTGACAGAGGCAGGTGGCCAACTTCCTGCCCTTTGACCTTCAACAGTTTCCCCTGCAGTAAGGAGACAGTGCAAACACACACATGCACACATACTTCCACACACACACATGCACAGAGGAGGAGCCTAGGTTGCCCTGGGTGAACTGGGGCAGAGGTCTTGCAAAAAGGCCCTGGAGGGAAGTGAAGGTCCTTCAACTCAGGGACAAGAGTTATTTTAGCAGTGCCAAACCTGACAGGCTGAATGATCATCCCCGCAGTGCCAACACCTCAGTGAATATGCACATCAGAAGGAAAGAGAGACGTACAGTATAAAACGAAGCCATGTCTAACTACAAAATGACTAAAAAGTGAAAGGAATCAGTGAGTTGATTAGTGACACACCCCTTGCACTCACAGTTCTAAAAACAATGTGCTCTTTTATCATTTCAAGCTGTTTGCACACTTAATTCCAGTACATTTTTCCAGTGGAGCTGCCAAGGGGTGGCCGGGGGAGGGGGGCACGGCCACCTGATACAAGGCTGGTCCCCCACTGACCCTCCTCGTAAGTCGCATACACTTAATATACTTCTAAGTAATGAGCATTGTATGCCTATATGCTATCTGTTGTTTTGCATTAGGTAATGTTCATTTAAATCAATAATGTATTTTTTCCTAATAGTTCATGTGAAAAAAAATAACAAATGCATAGCCAGCGATCTACTTTTGCTACTGCGTCACACTCCGACCACAGCTTTTGGTGTTTTTCAGTAGCTCCATCTGGCCACCCATATGAAAAATGTCTAGGGGCGCCACTGCATTCTTTACAAAAAGTCACCAAGCTCTAGGACAGTACCAATGTCTGCCACCTGCCTCTAAATCACTTTTTTATTCCAGAGGCTGGGTGAGGAAAAATAATTACAAAAAGTGTTACGAACAGCTATTCATTTGTCCACCTCTCTGCCCTTGGCTGCTTGACTATCTTTTTTCTTTACAATATGTCTGAATGTATCTTGCAAAAGGCCAGTGATAAATTCTTTCTACCATTTAAAATAATATCAAATAAAGAGCAGTTCAACACTCAAACATATGTTCTTTTGAGCTGTAGGCTTGTGCACGTCTGTGTGTATGATTTGCATGTTTGTTTTATGCCTCTATGTGTGTGTAAGAGGACCCCTGCTGATTAATGTCACTTCATATTGTAATGGAGCGTGCTGAACATGTTCTGATATCTGTAATGTGTTACCATTCTCAGCTTGATTTTATTGCCATGGTCTAATAGGATATTGCCACGATCACAATTTGGATTAACTTCCATATCACTGCTGTTAAACCAAGTGAGGTTTGGATGTGTGTGCAC